ATATATATATATATATATATATATATATATATATATATGCAATTTTAAATAAAATGATAAGGGATCCCTTTTGCACAGGCAAAGAATAAGATGAGATGACAGGTTACATTTGATCTGATACTGGTCGACCCAAACAGCAGCACACACCCTGAACTGTGAAATCTACAGATCTGTCAAACACAATATCAGCTTACATGAGCAAGTCAAACACACTCAGAAAATATACATTTGAGCATGTCATCAATAGCTGAGTTTTGGGGTTGAAAGGTACATTAATAGGCAACTGAAAGGGCTCTGATCGTGCTTCCATATGGACATCTTCCTTACAACTCTCTCCACTGTAAGCGACTACAGAAAAATGCGTATCCGTCGGGCACAAACAGAACAGGGTGACTAACCTTATCCGGCTCTTCTTAGAGGTGGTTATTTTATTCTATGCACTTGATGTTGCGCTTTTCCTCAGCTGGTTTCGGACATCCAGTCCTCGCACTTTTCCCGCAAAACACACTGGAAAGGGTCCACTCGCCTTAAAACCCGACCATTCCCGTGCCTAAAGAGGGGCGTTGCAAAGTCAGACGCTTGATGTCTGCAGCGACCTGGCTGTCGACCATTTATTTGTGCTGAAACTGCGCTGGCTGTTTCCAGATCAGCCTGCGGCCCTGGCGAGCTTCCAGCCCGCACTCACGGAGCAACCAATCAACAGGTCCCCTGTCAGCCACGCAGCATTGTCTTCTGCTAGTTACATACGGGTCATTCTGTGAATCGAGTTCCATTAGCGTTTTCAAATGGTGATAAAAACACAAAAAAGTAACAAGATCGACAGTTTTACAGTTTAACCCTTTAACTGTCACCCCCCATTTTTTTTTAAATAGGCATGCAGGTGCACTATCCAAACTTTAATTGTTGTAATTTTATGAACACTTTGGAATACATACATAAGGTTGGTCTCTTGTTAAAGAAGAAAATCAGCAAATTATCGCAAAAGTGGAATTTTTTTTCCAAAAATTGAAGTATCAAAAAGTTATAGTAGTTTAAATTTGCTGTAAAGAAAATGCACTATATTAATTTTATTTTATATATAATAAATATTTTACATATAAGGTTTTACTCTAAAATTGGTATAAAATTATAGCCTTATGTCTAAATAAGATATGTTCCAAATTTGAAGTTAATATGAAAAAAATTGAGGTTCCTGTGAGATTTTATTTAGGGTGTTATACCACAAACAGCCACCAGGTGCCATCCAAACTCCATTGAATTTTTTTAATGCATTTTTCTGTCACAAATGTCTAGATTTCTCTGTCAATATTACTTCTATCTCAAAATAACATATCTCAAATATGGAATCCTGAGACTCAGACCTTTCCAATGATATGTTTTTTGTCAAGATTATAAAAAGTTTTGATTCTAAAAGACCGTAATTCATTTTGTAATATGACACTTGACACCGCCCACTACGGGGGAGGAGACCGCCAAAAGATTTTAAAGTACCATTTCCATGGTAACGCAATGTCTGATTTCGAAATGGTTTTCATGGGATGAATCTTGGGCTTCTAAGCTTTCAAATGATATATGATTTATGATGATTACTAAAATATTTGATAGAGAAAAAGACAACAAAAAAAAAAGAGCGCCAAACATCCCACAGGTGGGACGGTGACAGTTAAGGGTTAATCATACAAGCTTTTTGGCCAATTGCAAGAATCTAAACCGTGCCTTTTTATAAGAAAGAGAATTTAAAGCTGATATTTCTACAAATATTTACCAGTTAATCAGTATATATATATATATATATAGTTTATATAATCTATAAACCTAAAATAAAAATATAATAAAAAAATATTTTATTAAAAAAACGAATTTATTAAAAAATAAATATACTATTTATTTAATGCACTGTTTGAACTTTATTCAAAAGGAAACTCCAACATTAAAAGGAAATAAGAACAGTTATTTTTTTAGCTTTAAAAAAACAAAAAATTATATTCATGTGCATATACAGAAACAAGCTTATCTAAAATCTTCTAGACACAAAAGAGGAAAACAAAAGGCACACACCATCAGGAATTGAGCAATCAAAAGCATGGCTATGAAACGCAAACTCACAGGTTTCAGCTTGCTTTGCACACTAGGTGTTCATGAGCAAAGATATGTATTATTTTAGCAGATCGGTTTATTTGAACTAGTTTTTACTTACACTAGAGCACATCTTTAAATAAGTTTTATTAACTGAACTCTTAAATTGAACTAAATAATAAATCTTTCAAGCCCACAACAAAAAAAACTAAACATTTTGCATCAAAACTGGAAAACACCTAAAGGTGCTGAAATTGTCATTAACAAACAATCAGAAGAAAGAAAACTAGCTTTCGACTTCTAAAAGTAATCTAACAAATAAAATAAACTCCTCTGTGTAGAACTGTGTAATGTAAACTCTAAAGAAAAAGAAGTAAATGTAAAGCCTATCAATTTAGCTGCCCATTGGTGCATTGAGGTTTGTGATTGGCTGGATCACTGGCCTCCCACAGCTTCTGAAACTCCTGCTGATAGGGCCGCACAAGCGCCGGCTCCTCCGTAACCATGATGTTTTCTTTGTTGCTCTGGACTGCGGTTAGGGTCCAGTTGAGGGAGCCAGTGATCAATTTCCTGCCGTCCACTAATGCAAACTTATGGTGCATATGAACAGCTGCGCTCATCTCGTGCCTCACACGGATGCCTGTAATAGAGGTCAAAAACAGATTGGAAACGATCAATTAGCTCCAAATCCGCTTGCAAATTAACAACAGATGCGATTTCGACATCTGTCAAACCCCTCCATGAATCCTCTAGATCCTTTAAGTCTGCTCTAATGCATCATCACAGTCCGCAGTAGGCGGGTGTAACAGCTCGCAGAAGTTACAGCACTGTCTACTGAAACAACATGACAGTTTTTACTACCTGCAACAGTCGTACAAGTTCTGACTATGAATCGTTTCGTACTGCATACCAGAGTTGTGAAAACAAGCACATGCTAAATACAATGATAAGGTTTGCAGACTCAGTAAAAACCTCGAAATATTATGGAATAGTTTTTTTTTTAATTCTTAGAATTTTTACTTTTTTTTTAATTCTTAGAATTTTAAAAATGTGATTTTAACTCTACTAATGTAATAATAATGAAGATTAATAACGTCTTAAGTCACAAACATTATAGACATTCTATGTTTTTTTAAGTTATACTTCAGTATTGGGAAATTACTAATACTTCAGTAACGCTTCAGCTATAATATTATTATTTTGCGAGAGAGAGAGAGAGAGAGAGAGAGAGTATATGCTTTGGCCATACAGTATATACCGTATCAGCAATTTATGAGCTGCTTGTAAATCCTGCAATATGTCAAGAGTATTATTTAAAATAAGTACCCACCATTATTAGACAAATTCTTCAAATTATTATTATTATTTTTTTTAATCAAATGTAATTTCCCAGTCACATTTTCTTGGTTAAATAACTCAGAAAAAGAAAAAAAAATCTATTTAATATTTTTACATTAACATTTGCGTTGTTTTATTTTTGTACTACACATTTTTTTCTCATCCAATATTTTGTGGAGGCACTGCCTCTGTGTCCTCCTCGGAGAAAATGCCCCTGAGATATATATATATATATATATATATTATAAATACACACACATGCATGTATATATTTAAGAAAAATATGTTTTGTTTATATATAAAATATTTATATTTATATAAATTATATACGAATATAAATATATAAATTTATATATAAAAAAATATATATACATGTATGATTGTTTGTGTATTTATTTATCTATACACAATAAATATACACAGTACACACACAATCGCGATTAATCGTTTGACAGCACTAATGTATATATACATTAATTTTTTTAATTAAACATACTTATACTTTAACTATAACTATATATATTATTATACTTTTTGTCTGATTTTGTTTTTTTTTTCTGGAATATAGCATCTTACTTTTCTGGTAGTTTTTTTTTTGTCCGTTTCTTGAGTTTGATGACTGACATCTTCACTACTATTAACAATGGCAGAATTTTCATTTTGGCGTGAACCAACCCTGTGAAATCCCATTATGCGACAACACACCTGCCTTACGGAGGGCGCCGATCTGAGATCCAGTGATGGTCATGTAGTCTCTGTCCGTAACCACTCGTACAACGACTCCCTGTGCTTTTTTGCTGCATACTTCACACCGATGTCACTTTGTGTAGAAGCCTTTAGTCTTGGCCTGGGTGCATGGAGAGAGAATATGGAAAAAATACGTATTCACAGGTTGTTCAAGTTGAGTTTGATCAGTTTCTCACCACTCGAGCCAATGTGATGAGGGTACACTGGACCAGCGTGTGGTTCATGTCTTCGAAAAGGTCATTGGCCTCAAAGATGTCATGTGGTTTCAGGCCGTATTCACCAATGGCTCGAACAAAGTGAGTGATGTTCTCTAACTAAGAGAGATTGAAGGAATAGATCAAAATAAAGTTAGGAATGGATACATCTTTATATTTCTCCAAAATTCTTCTTGTCTCATAGATACCAATATGCCATGTCCAGAAATACAGTATTTGTAGGTCAACTCATTTGAAGTACTCTAAACAGACTGGAGTTAATGAGGTAAAATAGTCCATTCATTAGCGGAGTTTGACTCTTGTGTTGCATTCCTTGTTTATGCAATCTACTCTTTATAGCCTGTTTGTTTTAACTACTGTAACTATTTGCACTTTTAAATCAATAACCACTTTGACAGTGCCAAAGGACTGCGTTAGTGTTTTAAATAGGTGGTTTAATCATAACAGCGCTTAGAGCAAAATTCTGTACACATCTACATTCTCTGCATTTCTCTAAACTAAACAGCACATATCCGCAAAGCTGAAGGATCCATCACATGTACTTATGTATTGTAACAAACATCAGTTGCATTCTTAAAACGGCATAAATGTGGCTCATAGTTTCCATTTCAAAACATCAAACATAGTATGCATACAAATTTGATTAGGAGCAACACGAGTGATGCTTCAAAATTCAAACATTGCGGATATACACATTACCTTGTGCCAATTCAGTGCTGAATGATTGACCTTCAGAATGGATCCAGGTTGCAGTTTGTTGATCAGCCTAGTGAACAAAAGATTCTCATTAATTTGCATCTACATGTCCACTAACTCTCAGAGTAGACTGTTAGGGTAGGTTTAGGGTTAGTAGAATAAGTTGACAAAGAAAGTGTTAGAAGATATTAAGCAGACAGTCTACTAATACTCTACTAACTGCTAGTTGACATGTAGTTGCAAAGTTACTTACTGTTAATAGAATGTCTAAAGTGGACTATCGAAATAAAGTGTTACCTAAAAGAGATTTTTTTTTAGACAAATGTTTTGGAAATGTTGCTGTTTGGCAACTCCTACCACAATGGAAGCGGTTTTCCTTTAATCTCTTTTGAAATTTCTTTTTTAAAAGTTTAACCTCTAACTAAGTTCATGTTTCTTTTCTGAATCAATGTATTCAAATATTTCTACTGAATATTTGCACCAGTGTAACAAGCTTTTTAATGAGGAAATGCATTGCTGCAGTTCCATTGCGGCACAGAATTGCCAAAGGGCACTGCTCATAATTTTTTGCAAAACTGTTGGGCAAAGTTGATAAACAACAACATTTATTTTACTTTCGTATGCAGTCAGGGCTTTCAAGTTTATGGCAGTTGTATTATAAAGTGCACATACCTTGGTCCTGACATCAGCAGAGAGTCCGAATGTGGGTCCTTTGCTGAACTGGGTGCTCATGGTCTCTGTCCTGTTGATGCTCCTGTGATCTGTATCTGCTCTCTGAGCTGCGGCCCAGGAGTTCTGCTCTGATCTCTCTCCATCTTTTAAATGCCCCTCTGTTCATGTGTCATACTGTACAAGTCTGCCGCTCATTGGCTGAGGCCTCTTGACCACCTGAGCAGTCATGAGCATGAATATGCTGCTGCCATGGGTCAAATGATTCCTAAAGGAATAGTTTAACAAAAATGAAAATCCCAAACGACACAAGTTTTCTTCTCTGCTTTCTGAAGTTTTCTTCTCTGCATTTGGTTTAATTCAAAAGAGCAAAAGTAATAATAGTAAATGACTACTAGTATTATTATCACCGTAATAATAATGTAATAATAAATTAAGCAAGGAGGGCAGGAAGATGATGGTGGATGGAAGGAAAGGAGACGATGGAATTTGAGCGCTTTATTTGCTCATGACGGTCCTACAGCTGTCATGTGTTTGTCGACATATTTATAACAGAAAGAATCCAGAGTGAAACTGAACTGAGTTCATCACATCAGTGAGTTTCTGTAACTGTATATGAACAAGACTAATGCACACACACACACACACACACACACACACACACACAATATATATATATTTGGTGGCCAACGTTGAATGCTTTTATGGATGGATAGATGGATGGATGGATGAAAAGTTGGAAGTTGGCAAGACTAAAGTAGTGGCTTGCTCACATACTAATTTAAGGAATGCACTCCAGTCCAGTTTGGCAAGAGGTGTTTAAAACTGTTTTAAGGTATGAGCCAAGGATAGAGTGGTCATAAAACAAATTAATGCACATTTGAAAGATTGCAATCCAGAGAACTTAAAGGAATAGTTCACTCAAAAATACATTAAATGATGGACTGATTTTTGTGGTTTTTATCAGCTGTTTGGTCTTTCATTCTGTTGGCACCCATTCACTTTAGAGAATCCATTAGTGATATAACGCTAAATTCTCCAAATCTCTCTTTTTTTTCCTTTTTCAAGATTTTCAAGTTCCTCCTGCCTTCTACAAGTGAGTTGAAAAATATTACCATTTGTCCCAGTAACAACCATAATTTTCCACCAGATGGCGGTATGACCAACCTTGCCCACTAGACTCAAGGATGTTGACAACATGGTCACACATGCTTTACAAAGGACACTTTATGAGATTATTTACTCAAACAGTCTTTCACCTCCCTAATTTTCTCTTTCTCTTCTATATTTCTTCTAACATCTTGGCTACCCCATATGTATATGTATTACCCAAGAGCCATTCACTTAGTTGCCTTAGCTACAATTTCAAAAGAAGCACAGTATGGAATTGCATACTAGCATACTACTCTCACCATTTCTGCGGTATGCATTATATATGTCTTCTAAACTCATTATTTTACATAACTAAATTAAACATGCAATGTCAATGAGGTCAATATGACAACAATGTTGCATACTACCATTTGTTGCATACATACATAGTTACATAATGCAAAACCCCATCTTATTTTTAATGAATAGCAGGCAGTATAGAGTATATGCTCTTCACTAAGCATAAGGTTAGTATTTCATTCTTAAAATATGTATATATATTAATTGATTTTCCACTTCACACCCCTTCATACACAAGCATTCCAGTTTAAAAGCACTCAAAATCAAAGTCCCTGAACTCTAGGTCAGATCTGTGCCACGCATACACCACAGTCATTTAGCATGAACGGTATTTTTCAGATCTGTCAAGTAAGCGATGCATCATTTATGCTGGATGAGTCAGACCGTTCACACCCCTGGGGTTTACCTGAGGACTCTTAAACTGTGTGTGACGGAGTTTGAAACATGCACTGTATAAACTACAGCACATCCAGTACAATTAATTTCTTCAGATTTTAACTCTTTAAATCACTACAGGGTTTCTTACCTGCACCATCCTGTAACATATGGTTATAATCAGCAAAAGACAGGGATGAATAATGGAGAAATATTGCACAATCCTGCTGTGGCTTTGAGGCAGGTTTTGACCAATGACAGAATGTTGTCTAGCAGCTCCAAGAATCCAGGCTTAACATTAAGATTTACCAGGTACTTGCTTTTCAGACAAGAAAAACAGTTTGAGACTAAAACTTTAATTCACTTATCCAAAAACAGTTTGTAATAATAGACAAAGCTAGCACGGGGCATCAGGAATCTAAAGTCAACTCTATAGTGATCCAGATATTCTGCACAATTTGGGCAACACAACCTTGACTGCCCTGTGGGAAAAAGACATAGTTTCAGCCCAGTTTAATGCTCCTTTGCTGAACTGGGTGCTCATGGTCTCTGCCGTAGAGTTGAGTCTTTGTTAAACAGAAAGTAAAAAAATATATATCTTTTTTTATTTTAAATAGAATATTTTGTATCATTATACATATCTTTACATTCACTTCTGATCAAATTTTGTCCTCGCTAAATCTTACTGGCCTCAATGTTTTACATTTAAATATAAATATATTTTATAATTGTATCAAATATATTAATAAATGTAATTATTACACAAAAATCACTTTGTTCTCCACTCACATGCTGCATATGTGTGCAGTGTGACACCTAATCTCAATCAAGCAGAAATGCAAACAAAACCTGCTGATCAAGTTCTCCAGAAGTTCACCGGAGAAACTTGAGCTTCGGTGGAAGCAAGAACAATCTGACCGTCTGTACAAAAAACAAGCATGATAAATGTTACTATTTATAAATAGTTCATTTTTCATTGTTTTGCATTGTTCAAAATCCTAAAACTCCACTTATTTCGTGGATTAAATGAAAAAACATTCAACATTTCAACATGATTTCAGACTTTTGGACCCCACTGTATGTGTGTATGTCATCATCCTTACATATACTCCTTTAGGGAACCTCATCCAGAATGAATTACAGTTTGCATTTGGCAATCATTCCATTCAGAGTACAGTGAGCTGTATCATAATGTGGGACATGTGACCCTGTTCAATACTTTATTGTCCGCGCAATTCAATGAATGTCTTTCCTTTCAGCATGATTTCAATTATTCTGTCTCATGGAGGCATTTCATGAAAGTATAAAATCCAGTTGTACCAATTTCATAAAGACGATTCCAGTAACAATAAAGGCACTGTATTCATCTGAAAATGTTCAAGGAGCCAAAAGCTGAATTTATACCAACAGGCCCTCTCTTATACAGAAATGAAGGACCATAAATGGCCAGATGTGCTTATTACTGCTAAATAAATCAGTGTCGTATAAGATCTCCCTCACGGGCTGAGCATCCCAAACGCTTTCAAACTCCAATCACTGTTAAGTATAAAGATCTGAATTTCATCATTTAAGTTTGAAATAGAAAAACATTTTTTTGTACTTGTTCCAAAAGTTCAGATAATGTTCTA